TGTATTTGGATTTTTTTCTTCGCAACAAACGGTTCCAGAATTTTAAAGCCATAAAAGTCCGAGGTTCCAACTTCACTGTCGTATAGACATGTTTCACTCAGTGTAAGCCATTTTCGCAAAATCCACTAATTTTTTTCGAAAAGCAAAATTATAACGGGCAAATTCCAGCCTTCAGTTACCCGTAGTTTTATAACGTATTATCAGCGTCACTGCCGACTTTGACAAAGCTTCTGTGTCTGAAGCGTATCAACTAATGGTCAGTTTACTGCTATTGTTGGCGAGCCCAGTGTTGATTTCTCTGCTTTTTTTATCAATTTTTTAACGAAAAATGCTAAATGTACCACTTATCTCGCACAGTGCTCACAAGCTTGCCCTATTTACAATCTTCTCATATCGCCTTCAAGCCTATTGCTCGTAAAAAGAGGTTATACCGTAGGTCGTACTAATCGTACTGTAGAATCCAGGGGTACCGTACCATCGATTTGACACTGGGGTGCTAAAAAAGGGGCACTGTATGCTAAGATACTACGGCAGAAACAGAAAGGTGGAAAATATGAGGAAGACAAAAACCATATGTTTAATCTTTCGACCCAATCATTATATAATACTCAAGCCCTGACTGTAAAATTGATTCAGTGAGAAGGTGCGTCTGAGAGATCCAATCTACCATGGGAAATCTCCGATAAAGTTCCAGAAATTTTCCTCTGCACCTACATCTTAAAAATCAGCGAAGACAACATGTTCCTTTTAAAATGGCGAAATGGAGCATTGTACTGATGATTTCCACCTCATTTCGCACCGATTTTGCCATCGGTATTTGCAGTCTAGGGATGAAACACACAGACAAGTTACTAAGTCACTGTACATACGGGCTTGCTTATTTGGAAGATCTAAATGGCACTACTTCCAGTGTTTTCATTAATTATCAATATTCGATTGTGTTCCTCTCCACGCTGACGGGCCAGAGCAACGCCAAACAAATTAAAAGTCCTCGTCTTCTTCCAGCAGCTCCCGGCCAGTGATTTTCACTGTTTGTGTCACTAAAATTTCAAAAAAAACTTAACATCACTTTTATACAGAAGATGCGAACAAAAGTACCTGCAAATGGAATGTTTTATTGTCGGCGGTCACTGTGAACAGTGAGTTGTTCTCGCCATCGATCCCAATGACAGCACCACGCAAATGTATGCAACCACGCTGCTGGCCACGGAGCATCTTCTCACGGGATGTGTAGTAATGAAGTGACTCATCGCCCAGCACAAACCATCGATACTGCCAACCCTGTACAACATTTGTCCACTTTGATAGGGGGCCTTCCATCCCTCCTAAAAATACTCTTTTTTTTTTTTTAAATCATCGGCAGAATTTACCGCAAAAACTCGAAAATGCACATATGACCAACTCTTCTTAAAATAGTCACAGAACGACTATGAGTCCCCAAATTGGGTTCAGCCTGAAGTGGAAAAACGGGGAAAACGGCACAGAGATCAGTGAATGGATTTAGAGGACGAAGAAGGAAAGAAAACGAAGTGAAAAAATAAATGAGAAGAAAGAGCTTTGCGTCGTACCGTTTTGCTGACAAGGTTCAGTCATTTGCGACGCAGAGCTGAGCTGTTCACGCCCTTGCCATATACTTCCCCCCAACCCGCATTTTACTTCATTTATTATTATGTCACTGCACTTTGCCAACAGTAATGCTACTCTTTCCAACACTTAATGGACCGAAACGTCTTATCTCTCCCCAACTGCGTCCGCTGCCTTTCCCATACTCGTATCTCGCTGACCCCGTTTTGATTCCCTCCCAACTTCAGTTACTGCGTCGCTACGTATGTTAAAGTGGGGAAACGTGAAATGGGGTCAAAGTTT